AGGTGGACGCCAGCATTATGGTTGGGGGTGTGTCGGTCTCTGGGACGGTGTTGATTTCTAGGTCCCTCGCTGTGCCCTGCTTGTTGGGAACGGATTTCCTGGCGAAAATGCCCATTCAGATTAGGGTTGATCAGAATTGCATTCAATTACCGGGGGGCCGCCAAATTGCCTTCTTGCCATCACCTTGGGGCCAGTCTGTTCCTGACCGCCAGGTGCAGGCGCTCTCCGACGTATCGGTTGATGTTCCATCTGGATCGCAAATGCTTATTCCGCTGCGTTATCGGAAACCGGTGCCGGGAATCGAGGGGGCGGAAGGTGTGTTGTTGTCGCCGTCCAATGCTATAGCGGGGGGTTTGACGCTGGTTGGGGCGCAGACGATTGTTCGGCCGGGTCAACCCCCGTTTTTACAAGTGTTGAATGGGACCGCAGATAATGTTTGTGTGCCGGCCGGAACGGTTTTAGCTCATGCTACGACTGCCTTCACGGCCCATGCCGAGGGGGGCCCCCGGGGCCTCGTAGGGGGGGTCTCGACCTCCACGGCACAGGACGACCGCTGGATTGCGGAATTGTGCCGGGAAAATGCGTCCTTAACTGGCGACCAACGGTCCGCGCTTCGCGCACCATTGGGAAAGTATTTCGACGTTTTTAGTTCGGACGATTTCGATTTGGGACGCACTTCTCTGCTCTCCCACCATATTGATACGGGGGATGCCGCTCCGATTCGGATGAACCCGCATCGGTTGAGTCCGTCGGAGCGGGATCATATACGGGGCGCGGTGGAGGATATGCTGGCCGCCGACATTATTTCCCCATCCAACAGTCCGTGGGGCGCGCCGGTGGTACTAGTGAAGAAAAAGGATGGAAATTGCGGTTTTGTGTCGATTTTCGAAGGTTGAATAAAGTCTCGGTTGCGGATGCGTACCCCCTGCCGCGTATGGATGATTCCCTCGATGCCTTGTCCGGGGCAAATTTTTTTTCTACTCTCGATCTGTCATCGGGATTTTGGCAACTTCCCCTGGACGAGTCCTCGAGGGAAAAGACGGCTTTCCGTACGCCGCAGGGCTTGTTTCAATTTAATTATCTCCCCATGGGCTTGAACGCCGCCCCGGCGACGTTCCAGCGATTGATGGAACTCGTGTTGACCGGTCTGCAGTGGGAAACGTGTCTGATATATTTGGACGATGTTATCGTCTTCAGCCGCACGTTTGAGGAACATCTTGCGGAGATTGGACGCGGTGTTCGCGAGGATGCATTCCGCTAATTTAAAATTTAAGCCTAAAAAGTGTCACCTGCTGCAGCGATCCGTACGCTATTTGGGCCACATAGTCAGCTCGGACGGGGTGGCCACTGACCCGGAGAAGACGGCGTGCGTTCGGAACTGGCCGACTCTGGCCTCAGTGGGGGACATGCGTCGGTTCATCGGGCTCGCTTCTTATTACCGCAGGTTCGTGCCGGACTTTGCCATGATCGCGAGGCCCTTACACCTCTTACGGCGAAGGGCCAGAGGTTCAGTTGGGGACCGGAGGAGGAGGCGGCATTTCAGAGCCTGCGCGATCGGTTGGCATCGGCACTGACACTGGACTATCCGGATTTTACTCGGCCATTTATCCTGGATACCGACGCGAGTGACACGGGGATTGGAGCCGTCCTGTCCCAATCTAGGGACGGCGTCGAACACGTAGTGGCTTATGGAAGCCGCGTGCTGTCTCCGGCGGAGACCCGCTACTGCGTTACTCGTCGGGAACTCTTGGCCATAGTACATTTTCTTCATCAATACCGGCCAGTATCTATACGGCCGTACGTTTATTGTGCAGCACGGATCATGCTGGTCTGCAATATGCCCTGAGGGTTGATCAACCGTCTGGCCAATTGGCACGATGGTTGGAAACCCTGCAGGAGTTTTCATTCGAAATTCAGTACCGGAAGGGATCGCATCACGCGAACGCGGACGTGCTTTCTAGATTGCCGCAGGGGCCCCCATGCGCTTGTACTTCGGGCACGAATAGGTGCACGCGGGTTCCGCGGGAACCTCGGGCGGTTATGTCCGCAGTGGAGGTGCCTGAGGCTCCTGCGTGTCCAGAGCTGGCTGATGGGGTTTTTAATTTGCCACGTTCCGTATGGGTTCGCGAACAATTGCTTGACGAGTCGCTGGAGGCTTTGTAGAGTCGGGCCGCGAAGGTAAGGGGTGGCCCGCTGTCCGATGGTGCGATGGGAGCTGCTCTCCCGGATGGCTTGCTCATGTGGAGGGAAGGCTTGCACGATCACTGGCGGCTTGTTGTGCCAGTGTCGCTGCGACATGAATTGATTCGGATTCTGCATTCCGAGAAGTTGTTACATCTCGGAGTGCAGAAAACATTGTTGACGTTAGAGCGGGATTACTTTTGGCACGGCATGACGACTGATGTCGTCGGGCACATTCGAGCGTGTTCCGACTGTGCCTGGCGGAAGCCGCCTAAACACCCATATGTTCCGCCAGTGCAGTCCATACAGGTGTCACGGAGTAATGAATTAGTGGCGTTGGATATTTTGGGGCCCTTTCCATCATCCGCTCGGGGTAACAAATTTTTATTGTTCAGAGTGGAATATCTTTCCCACTGGCCGATGGCCTGGCCCTTACCCGATCAGTCAGCGGCGTCTATCACGGAGGCATTCCTGTTTGGACATGTGATGGACAAAGGGGCACCGGAAAGTTTGCTTACGGACCAAGGTCAAAATTTTTCTTCTAAATTATTGGCTGAGGTGTGTGCTGCACTGGGGACCAAGAAGGTACGGACGTCTCCCTACCATCCGCAGACGGATGGGATGGTTGAACGTCTTAATCGGACCCTGTCGGCAATGCTCTGTCATATGGTTAGCGAAAAGCAGGCTGATTGGGATTTGCATATCTCTGGGGTTCTCTCCACGTACCGGATGACGCCGCATGCATCGACGGGGTACTCGCCTTTCTTTTTGATGTACGGCCGCGAGAACGTGCCGCCGGTGGACGTGCAGCTGGGCTCGGGGGTGAAGGGTCCTGTTAGGCCTCTTCTCGATTATATTCGGGACACTGTCCGTCGCGTGACGGAGGCACGGGAGGGGGCCCGATTGGCTACTGCCAAGACCCAGACCCGGAACGAACGTTGTGCACGACGGTCGCATGGTGAGTCCCCCTGGCGGGTGGGGGACATGGCCTGGCTGCACTGCCCGCAGGTTTCGGTGGGGACCTCCCCTAAGTTGCATAGGACCGGTGGTGCTTATTGAGACTCCTAATTCACAATCCGCGCACGTTCGGTTCGGGTCGCGGCGTTGGTACGTGCATACGTCCCGATTGAAACCCTATGTAGCCCCGCGGACGGATGCGTCATCTCCTAATGTTGCCTTGCAGGTGTCTGTCGCGACCGACGCGCCACTGACTTTGCCTGCTCAACCTGCAAGCGCGCCTGTCGTGCCTCCTGTAGACGGACCGGCGGTGATCGTGCCGGACATGGTGATTCCTGCTCCGGGTGGGCCTACCACGGCGACAGGGACACTTGACCCCGCTGCCCCTACAACCCCACCTCGGGCGCAGTTGCAGGAGGGCTCGATGACGGGCCCCTTTGGGGAAGGGAACGCTGGGAGTGACGGGCCTCTGACAGGGGTGGGCGATTCCGGTCCCGCCGCTCCTAAAACCCCGTCAAGGCCACGGTCCGCACGGGGGGTCACCCCCGTGCAGGACGGGTCGGCGACTCGCACGCGTTCGAAATCCCTTCCTTTGCGTTAATTGTTGTTCTTCTCTCCGTTGTTCTTATGCCGGTGTGTCATGTGTTGCTCGCATTATTGTTGTTCTGTTGCAGCCGAGGTCGGCTGGCTTTTTCATCAGGGTGGGGGGGTAGTGTAATGCGAGCAAGGACAGGGTGGGCGCTGCCTCCGCACCACTCACACGGGCTGGTGTATTAGAGAGGCGGAGCCTGGTCGTCGGGGTGAGTGGGGGCGGAGACAGGGGCAGGAGGAGGAGGTGGAGTTGGGTCACGTGAGAGGGGGGGATATAAGAGAGAGACGGAGGAGGAGCTGGGGGAGAAGAGAGTGAACCACAGAGGGGAGCCACGCTGGTGGGAACAGGAGAAGTGGCGCCATTGCCACGTGGTCGGGGCCGAGGGGCCCTGGAGTCTAGCGTGCGCAGGCACGAAGCGTGCGAGGGGCACGGAAGGGAGAAGAGGGCCGGAGCGGGTGTGGAGGACCCGAAGGACGGTGTGGCAAGAGCAGGGTGAGGAGAGAGCACAAGGAGAGGCCGGAGGTGACGGTGCGGCGAAGGCCACATGGAGCGTGCGCGGGGCGCACGGAGAAGGATGGAGAGGGTGCCACACGGAGCGTGCGCGGGGCGCGCGGCGAAGGTCGGAGCGAGGACCAGCGGGTGCGAGAGAGAACCCAATAAAGGACAACGGAGAGCGACAACCTGTCACAGTGTCCTTTATTACAGAGGTACAGAAATTCATTAAAAGTATCTTCGCAGAGCTTAGAGTGTGATGTTTATTCCACTTGTATGTGTGGATTTTCTCTGGGCACTGTGGTTTGCTCCTACAATCCAAACACTAATTTATGTAATTTGGCCAAACATTCCAGTGCAGGATACTTTTAGAAATAGTATTGAGACTCAATCAGGCTTCCGGCGGTAAGAGACATTGTTGTTTGTTACATGCATTTATATGAGAGCAAGCTTTAATAACAATATGGTAATAATGTACAGCCCTTTTCAAACCACTGCTGGATGAAGGCCTCTAAACGCTATGTCAGTCATAGGGTGGTTTGATCATACTTCACCACACTGGTCAGTGCAGGTTGGTGAAAGGTGCGGGCCAGGACTGGTTCACATATCATCCACCACTGATGATAGCCCTGCTCACAGGTCTCCGAGTGCATGGCACAGTGCGCTAACCAATTTGCCACTGCTCCGTAAGCTTTGACCCTCCAGCATTGGAGATGCGACAGGCTGGTTTCTGGTTTGTGTGGCACATGGCGACAACTTTGTGTTTCTATTTCAACAGATGAACTGACCAACAAGGCAGAAATGGGTGGCAGGTACATCATATGCGGGATTCCAGCGAATGTCGGCACGGGAACAGATACGATGTTCTGCATGGAAGCGAGTAATGTGGAAATGCACGTCACGGCAGGTAAGTGTCGTGGGCTGACCGTGGCTACACGCTCCAGTTTGAGATGGCCGGACCCCCCCTACAGTGTCACATAAGAGACACTGTATGAAAATGCAACCAGCGCTGGGCCTACTCGGGAATGCAACGATGCATCGATTCGCCTAACAAAATATATTATTACGCTCGCGACACTTGCATTGAATCATGCACGTGAAATGTAATGCACAGTAAATGATAATTTTGTGGTTTAGATTGTTGAAGTTAACAGAAATTCGCAAACAGAACATGTTACAACACAAAGAGGCAGTAATAATGAGGCCAGTAAAGAATTCACTACCTCGAACTGTGACAATTCACTAACAAAGTGAATATTTTCATGGCATAGCCACATGACTCATCATCACTCACCAGAGTAAGATGCCAAATTGGAGATTTTTTTTGCAACTGGAACAAATTAAAAGCCAGTGACATCTCTCCTGAGCAATATAGTTTTGGCAGAATATAAAATGCATATTTTTTCAGGAGATAAGTATAGAGCATATATATGCACAACCAAAAGTGGTTGGTGTGGGCACTAAATCCATCCTATAGCTAATGGGTGTTTCGCAGCCAATTCATCCTATTTTCCACGATATCCATGAGTTATTTTCATGATTAATAGGATCTGCCAAGAGCGCCCTCCCACCCACCTCTCCCCCCATGTGAGTTCATGGTGCGGGAGAGTTTCACTGTGTACACCTCTGTGTGCTAGGACCACGCGACTTGCCAGCAGAGATGAAGAACCTGCATGCCAGGATGTGCGTATCCCCCTGGGCGTTTGCCGCGTGCCTCGCTCACGCTTTCGCCGCCGAAGCGACGCCACCCGGCACCTACAGTGCCCTGAAGCTGGTGCTACTGCTCAGCCTCCTGCACACAAGCGCGGACGGAAGCACCAGCAAGGACTTCCTGGACCTGCTGGTTATTGGCAGAGAAACCCTGGTGATCGGCAGGTAAGGCCACTTTTATATCCGTGTGTATGTTGAAGCTTATTTCGCTCCATACGTAGCCAACCGTGATAATTGGAGGTGCGGAGTGAAGGACAAGAAACTAAACACAAAAAGCCAGTTCTAAAGAAAATCGATTTCAATCTGGATGATTTAAAAGTGCACAGCTCTAATGGCTTCCTAATATCAGAAGGAGGAGTAATCTAGAAGTTCACAGAAGCGCATCTCAAGGCACTTGATGCGGTAACCATCTATAATACTTGCGCACTAATTATGACCGCCAGTGAGAAGGGATAGCAACAGTGCGGTGGTCAGTGGGGATTAGTCGGCATGCAAGGATACATTGATTCTAATCTGTCATTATGCTCACATACATGCCCAGGAGATTCAGCTACTCTCCTATTGGAATGTAATTGGTTTGCATGACCCCCCCCCCCCCCCCCGCAGCCACTAGAGATGCTTCAAACATGTAAATGACGGGAAAACCCATCACAACTTGAAAATTAGTGCAGGCCTGTGTATATATATTTTTGATCCGCCCCTACTGGACATCTGTGAAAAAATGTATTCATAGCCAATTGGATTTCTCCAGGAAAAATAAAGATGATTCTGAAGATGTGCATTGCATATACTATTATGCTAAACCACCAGTTCAGAAGAACTGCATTGTGGCCATTTTGTCTTAAACCACTATAAATAAATTGAGAAAATGTGGAGACAAAGACACAACTGTGGACCTGTTTTTCCATTATTAGGACTCATCAGTGCAGTATAGTCATCGATGTTCACTGCTGCCATCTGCCTCTGAGAACCTCATATATTAAGAGGGCTAGCCTTTACACTATGGTGACCCATTAACATTGATTACTGTACTTATGAGGGTGACACAATTATGCATTTGTCTCACTGCTACCTTTATTGTACAGCTATTGATAATTGTGCTGTGGCCATCAATTAGCATGGTTGGTTGTGTACAGTTCGAAATAAGTAAAAAATACACACATAAACTTGCTACCCTCATGAACTAAAGATTAACCACAAGTGGGTTTAACCCAGATTCAAACCCTAGATCCCAGCAGTGCCGAGTTATAACTGTGTTCTGGTATTAGCCCTCTGCGCCACCTGGCCACCTCTGCCAACGGTTGTATCATAATAACTCATGTAACGTATTTACCCATGAGATTGGCATTGGTCTTTGGCAGTGGTGGCTCACCACCACGATCGGAGCGGACGCTTTTTTTGTTGCAGGCTCCTGAGCTACGCAGCTGGGCTGGTGGAGAGAGGTGTCCAATGCCCGCCCAGCGGGGAGCTCCTGGCCTCTGTGTCGAGGGATGAGCATGGCACGGCCACGGCAAGCATCCATGCCGGACATGTTCTCCTGGCCAAGGGCGGCATCTGCTGCATCGGCGAGACATCCTCTTACAAGAAGGAGAAGCTGCAGGCGCTTCAGAATGGTCAGCAGTCGTAGCTCGCCATTCCTCTGCACCCGCTATTCCACTGCACTCACTGTTCGACTGTCTCCGCTGTTACACTGCACTTGCAGTTACAGGCCACGATGAATTTCCACCATTCAGGGTGCTGACCTGGTTCAATAATATATTTCTTAGTGTCCCATTTGGGTCGTCTGTCTCATTTGATCTATTTGTCTACTTTTTAACATGTGAAATTAATTTGTGCAAATATGAAATAGTCCATTTTCATGCGCACAATTAGATGTGTATTTTGAGAGCGTTAGAGCCATTTTCATTCAAGGAACCATTACGAGCATGATGCCTGCTTAATGAGGCAAGTCAGGGTGGTTTTATTTACATTGTTCACTTTCCAAGGGAGATCTGCAAAACTGCTCAAGGAGGAACATTTGATCGGTTTTCTTTTGTTATTTAGTTGCAATAAATTTTCAGTTTAGAAGAGTGTCACTGATGAAGAATAACCTACTTTTTCAAAACTGCTCAAATGTGTGATGATACTGGGTGAATGTATTCATGGAATGTTGTTTAAAATACAATTCATCCTCAGGTAATAACTTATTTTGGAAGCAGAAAAAATATCTGGATAATGTGATGTTCAATCTGTGAACTGAATTTTAACTAAGATAATTTTTATAGATTACACACGGACAGAATTTCATGCTAGAACTGAATCGTAGTTCTCATCCAGCAAGGGACAGAGAATAGTTGATATTAAAGATGATGCTCACTCTCATAGTTATGACAAATACATCCTATATGACTTAGATTACAATCTGGCATGAGATGTAACATTTTAACACAGCTCCTGTGTTATTTCCGGAAGGGGTAATAAAGCCTTTTCTTATTCCCCCCCCCCACCCTCATTTTAATACTAGCAAAAGAAAAGGTCTCATAGGTAGACGGACAGTCCTTGACTTATGGACACAATTACACTGGTACCTATTTCCATTCGTTCTTACGGGGAAAATTGATTCGGTGTTCGAACACCGATTTGGAAATAGCATGAATTGGTTCCCCACCCATGGATGCTCCTATTATGGGCCATTTTTACACGAAGTTTACAATATTAAAATACAGTACAGTACATAAAAGCATACAAAAAACAAGAAACACAGTTATATTTAAAATAATAAATGAACATTGAACTTCACTTTACCTGTAGTAAGGAGAGTGGATGGCTTGAGTGGAAGGTTCTCGAAACCTTCCTTTTTGGCTTATCGCTGCTACTAACCTTTTTAGGAGCCATTGTGTATGGATAAACACAAAAAAATAACACTCAAATAAATGAAATAAATGAAAAAGTTAACGGAACGATGTTTTGCGGGTCTGCACTGGGCGAGAGCTACGCGTAAACTGGGTCATTCGCCTTTGTCTCGGTCGCCCTGGCTACGTGTCTCGGCCCAAACAGGTTCTTTCCAGTTGTTCGACCTCCGAATTTTTATTCGATGTCCGGGGCAGAAAATGGTCGAAAATGTTGTTCGATCACCGAATTGTTCGAGTTCTGGGGCGTTGATCTCCGAGGTTCTACTGTAGTTCCCGAGGCCTGTTCATAAGTCGAACGGTTTCCTAAGTCGGAACACAGAAATCTACTGTATTTAAATGTCAAGACACACAAATACTCACTCCCAGCACAAAGCTGACTCATGACATCTCACAGAGGATCGCTCAGCTGAACAAAATAGTGCCCCGGTTCCATTCGCAAGTGAGAGTACGCGTTTTAAGTCAATGTAAAAAAAAAATCATGGAAGTTGGTTCGTAAGTGCAGGTGTTCGTAAGTGTGGGTGTTCATAAGTCAAACTGCCTGTAATGGCCCTGCTTGTTTGGCGCCATGGTGTGGGATGTGTCTCATTGGACGTGACTGCGCCTCCTTGCCACCACTCAGCGCTGGAGAGCCGCCTGGTGTCCGTTCCCATTCCCAAGAAGAAGTTTGGTGAAGAAGTGGCCCAGGAGGTTCAACTGCCCATGAGCTGCAGCGTGTGGGCCCTGGGGGGAGATTCTGCAGCGCTGCTGAAGAAGACGGTGGGGGGTCTGTGGGAAGATGCCCCCCTGGGCACCAGGGTATTGCCACTCCCACCCTCTTGTAATGTGATTAATCATCACGATTCAGTTTACGTTGATTTAATACTTTTTTTTACATTGTAGCGGCCACTAGTGGCTGCATCGTTCATAGGAACCCATTGCATATATGACATGCATACATTTAATATGTAGGTGTTCACAGCCGATATAATGATTCGTAATTGTTTTTTTGGGTGACGCCACATGATGATTTGACCGGATTTGTGTCAATAGGAACAAAACATTTACTTTTGTTTGGCTGTGTCGGGTGGTGGAGGGTTCTTAATGATATAGGTTTGGTCATTGATTACATTGCCTAACTTAAGTATGAATCAACATGTATATATTCATATACAGCCCTCTGGTCGATTGCTGCATGAGGGCCTCCCCACGCCACATAGGTTACTTACTTATCTGGCCATACTTCACCACGCTGGTTAGTGCAGATTGCAAGGTGTGCATATTTTGTAGCATAGTAAAGCAATGGATTTTGCTGTGAGGCACAATTGTTGCCATTGCGGCACTTATGCAACCGAGTTGATGGCCCGTCCTTGACTGGTTTTGCCTGCTTTCGTTTTCTCATCGAACTAGGAGCTGGGTCTCATCCCACTGCCGCTTGCTGACTCCTTTGGCCTCATCGTCTTCTGCGAGGGCAATGAGTCGAGTGGCAACGGAGCGTGCAGGCTGTTGGCCGAGCACGTGCTGAATAAGGCGATGCTTGCCAACGAGCCCGTTTATACCATCCCGGAGCAGATCATGACTCGGCATTTTGAAGAGGTGCGTGCTGCACGTACGCGAGAGTGACGCGGTGTGTGCGTGTGCGTGTACGTGCCCGTGTGACACGTAAATTGAAAACTAATTTCCTGAATTTAAAACTAATTTCTTTGGAACTGCTTTTTGATGTTTAGTTTGTTGTCCTCGGCTATGTACGGTGCAAAAGAAGTTCAATATACATACATACACCGCACTTCTGATTAGCATGGTTGGCTATGTACGGTGCGAAAGAAGTTCAACATACATACATTATAGAGAGATGGGTCTCAACGCATGCGGAAGGCTGTGGATGTGTAACATGTGTGTGCTCGTATTAAAACGTTTCTGCATGCTTATAGATATGTATGTGTGTGCGTATGTATAAGGTAGCGGTAGTGTAGTGGTTAGCATGTTGCGCTACGAACCCGGTGACCCAAGTTCGATTCCCATTCATGGCCAACACCAGTGATGATTATCTGAACCAGTCCTGGACCTGCCCTAGGTCGACTTAGCCTGAAATTAGTACCTGGTCTGGTGTGTGTAAACATTGCCATTAGGGAGACAAAGGTGGCCAGGCGTGGTGGTGGGCACCCATTCCCTCATGTGCCATACTGGTTTTCATAAGTGCTCGCTAATAGCACTTGCCCCAACAGTCTGTTTAGGTAATTCGGGGGATCTTTGTCTTTGTTTGTCAATGTATATATGTAAGTTAATGCTTGCTCGTTCATATCAGTATCAACCCATGCATGTACATTAGCCGTTAGAGCGCAATGCTTCATTCCCACGACCCGAGTTAAAATTCTGGCATGGCACAGCGGTAACAATTGAGTTTTGAATCTGGCTCTGGCTTTTTCCAATTTAACGCAGCATAAAAAATAATACCTCCGTACATTGCGGTCAAAAACACCAGCCCTGCAGCGGCAAAGGCATCTTGGGTACACGCTGGTCACACCACTGCTGTTGAACTATTGCAGCCATTAATAGGTACTCACAACAGTACAGTTTGGATTTAAATGGTCTATAATTGTGACGGCATCTCAAAACATTGTGTAGTCCATGAGCCCAGAGCAGATATTTCTCTTGTCGGTACCACCTGATGTGGCATAACAGTAACGGTTAAAAAAATGTGTGTGGCCATAAACGGTGAATTACGTGATAACCTCAGCAAGTGAGTGGAGTTATCAAATAATATGCTTGTATTGGCTGGCTGGACTTGAACAGAGGCGGGGCGTCAACAGCACAGATGGCTGGAGGAATGGCGTTCTACAAGTGAATAAGCGATCTCCCACTCATTGAGTGAAGGCTGTGATGGAAACCTTTCATAGTTGAAACGGAGAATGCATGGAGAGGAGTTCATTGAGAGCAGAGGGAATAGGTAGACGAGTGTGCAGAGGGGAGCATAGTGAGATAAGTGTGGAGACGTAGGAGCGTGCGTGGACGGGAGCAGTGGGAGATGAGTGTGGAGATGTAGGAGCATGTGTGGAGGGGAGCAGAGAAAGATGCGGTAGTGTAGTGGTTAGCACGCTGGACTACGAACTTGGCAATCCAAGTTCCATTCCTGCTCACGGCCAACACCAGTGACGATTATCTGAACCGGTCCCGGGCCTCCTCTAGATCGACTCAGTCTCAAATGAGTATCTGGTGTGGTGTGTAAACATCACCACTCTGGGGAGACAAAGGCGGCCGGACGTGGTGTTGGCCACCCACCCCCTCGTGTGCCATGCCGGCTTTCATAGGTGCTCACTAACAGCACTTGCTCCAAAAGTATGTTAAGCCTATACGGGGGATCTTTATCTTTGTTTTTAGGGAGATGAGAGGGGAGAGGAAGGCAGGGGTGAGTTCAATGAGGGTCTTGAAGACTGTTCATGTGATCTTGAAATTTATTTGGGATTGTATTGTGAGTTAGTGGAAGTATTGGAGTATTGGGGTGATGTGTTCTAGTTTACGCATACAGGTGAGAAGTCTGAGAGCACTGTTTTGGATAATATGGCATTTCAAGACGAGAGAGTTGCAATCGTCAAATCAGAATGTGATGAATGGCAGATGCAGGAGATGTGCATGAGTTCCTGCAGAGTTGTTATGCATTAAATGTGGGTCAAGGTCCGTGTGCGTGTGTGTCCGTGTATACTATCTCTGTTGCAGCTGGTGGAGTTTGCCAGAGCACAGCCGTGTGAGCTGTGCCCCAGCGCCGAGCAGCTCATTCAAGGATACTACCTGTCCAGCCGGAGGCTGCGCGCCTCCTCCACGCATGGCTCCAACTTCCCCTCCACCGCGCTCCGCACCCTGTGAGACAAGAAGGCATTCTCTTTGGTGGTGTTGTTTTTTGTGTCCCCCGCTGTCTCAGACATAGACGCTCAGGCTCCCGGGTATCACCGGGAAAAGTGCAAATACCCGTTTCGCATAGGGGTTTCTGTAAAGGGCTAAGACCATCAGTCACAATAGCTTTGGTTACCCAAATTGGTACCTGCAGTCCGCAAAGCTCCAACCACAACAGCAAGGATCAACAAGTATGTCAGCATTAAAATCACTGTCATCACTTGTAGCCATCCCATAGGGAGTCACTATATGGAGTGACTATCCTCTGCCATAGGAATGTGGAATTTAGGGCAATTGCTAAAGGCCGTTCAAACAGGGATGATCGTTGGCCAGCGTACATTTTTTCAGAGAAAATGTTCTCACTGTAATGTTACGTGATTTTTTTAAGTATTAATTTAAATTGTTATATCTCAACTTAAAGCTTTTGTGACTGCAGTAATTCATACTCTTTGGGTCTTTCGGTAAAGCCATCGTCATCAGGTGAAAAAATACAGCAGGAAAATTGCTGAGGTGGGAAAAATATAGCATGAGAGCTGCTGAAGCAAGCAGTTATATAGGTTTGAGATGGGTGCAACCCAAGAGTAAGTGGGTGGGGCTAGAGATTGAATTTGCATGTAAATGTGAGATCGGAGAGCTGATATACCCCTCGACTACGAAGCTGCGGAGTTGGCCATTGTATTGCGAGAGATTAGCATGTCAATCTGTTAATGTGAGATTAGCATGCCAATGTAAGAAGGCAACTGCAGCGGCGGCTGTGTTAATGAGAAGATTAGCATGTCAATGTAAGAAAACCAACAGTAACGGTGGCTGTGTTACTGATAAATTTAGTCTGTTAAAACAAACGAGAGCTACCGCCACATCGAGGAAAAGGAGCAGCGGTGACTATGTTATTGAGACATTTAGCCTGTTAATGTAAAGACATTTAACATGGTAATGTAACTCAGAGGGTCGGAAACATCTGCTAACATCGGCAGGTAGGATGGAAACATCACAGCCAGTTATGACTGAAACTGATTAATAACGTCCTTCCAATGATTGCTCAGTTTGTACCCATCTTCTCGATTGAAATTGTGTCAGTGTTTATATATCTGGATGGCTTCATGAACGAATCTTTGTTGATAGACAGTAGGTTTGCAGAGTACCTTCATCTTGGAAAAATCTATTTCGTGTGTGCCCACAGTGTTTAAACAATGATCAGCCACGGCCGAGGTATTGGTCCTACCGTGTTTCAGATCTGCCTTATGTTCACGAACATGGTCAGAGACACGGTGCTTGGTTTCCACAATGTAACTACTGCCGCAGCCACAGCTTAGTTTGTAGACACCGGGGTATTGCATGTCCGGGATCACATCCTTCACAGATGGGATCAGACGTTACTAACTAGTTTCAGTCATAACTGGCTGTGATGTTTCCATCCTACCTGCCGATGTTAGCAGATATTTCCGATTCTGAGTTACATTACCATGCTAAATGTCTTCACATTAACAGGCTAAATGTCTCACTAACATAGTCACCGCTGCTCCTTTTCCTCGATGTGGTGGTAGCTCTCGTTTTTTTTTTTTAACAGACTAAATGTCTCAGTAACACAGCCACCGTTACGGTGGTTTTCTAACATTGACATGCTTGTCTTCTCATTAACACAGCCGCCACTGCGGTGGCCTTCTTACATTAGCATGCTAATCTCTCACAATACAATGGACACCCCCACAGCTTCGGTGGCGCCCAGTTTTCTTACATTGACATGCTAATCTCACATTAACAGATTGACATGCTAATCTCTCGCAATACAATGGCTGCCTCCGCAGCTTCATAGTCGTGGGGTATATCAGCTCTCCGATCTTATATTTACATGCAAATTCAATCTCTAGCCCCGCCCACTTACCCTTGGGTTGCACCCATCTCAAACCTATATAACTGCTTGCTTCAGCAGCTCTCCTGCTATGTTTTTCCTGCCTCAGCAGTTCTGCTGTATTTTTCACCTGCAATCGAAACGTCGTGATATTTTTTATTTGTATTTTTTATTATTTTTATTATTTTTCTATCTACGTGGCTTTACCGAAAGACCCATAGAGTATGTTATATCTCAGTTGCACTTAATTAAAGAAGGGTGTAAAATCAATAATACAAATACACGGTGCAGGTTACCATTGCAAGGTGTAATGGAATACATTTTAAACGGTGATAAGTTTAGTGGCACGTGCATTATTTATTTATAAATTAGAAATGAAAGCAATTTTAAACCAATACTGCGCTCTTACTGGAAAATGTTCTCGGCTTACTGAGCGGTGCTTAAATGATTACTTTCCTTGAGAACTCTGCATTTCGTTTTTATGCTTAGAATTGCGTAAACGGCACCCTCTGCAAATGGAAAAAGTGTAACAATGAGCATATGTTGTGTATACAGTGTGCACAAGTAAACAGATCCCACACTGACATTTACAAGTTGTGCGCAGGCATAGAGGAATGAATTGAAAGTGGCTTTTTCCTGCCAGAGATGTAGACAGGGCAGGCAGTTTGTGTTATTCCCGACTAGACACTAACGGTGCTATTTAGCGCAACTAATTGGACGATTGCTCGTTTTCCACACAGTGGTGAGCGGGTTGCGATGCCCTGCACCCAGCCCGAGCGGAGGTGTGTGCTTTGGCCCTCACATTTTGTTCAGGAGAGTGAGGCTTAATTTGTTTCTCGTGGGTCCAGCGGGTTTTTCTCATTTAGCGCGCGAGCGCACGTTTGTTTATTTTTTGTTCTTTTCACACATTACCGTAGATATCAGGCGGCGTAAAATATTCGTTTCGCGATGCCCCCCACCACCTCTCTCTTTCCAGCATGTCGGTGGCGCGGGCGCACGCCAGGCTGAGTCTGCGGAGTGTGGCTTTGGAGGCGGACGCGGTGATCGCCATCGCGCTCTACGAAATCTCCATCACCTCGCGGCACGGTAAATGGGGCTCTCCCGCGTTTTGCGCTCACGTCTTTGGTAATGCGCCCCGTCGGTAACGTGAGCCAGCCCTTTTGCTACCGTCAGTCGGCGTGGATTTGCCGAACTTTTCCAAACAAATGGGTGACGCGGTGGTGAGATGTTAACTTCCTCGCCTGGTATACAGGAAGTTGTGGATTCGATCACAACCCTGGCGCCTGCTGTATATTTGGAGTTTGCGTGTCTCTCTCCACATGGTTGTGTGGATTTTTCTCCGGTTCCTCCGGTTTTTCCCTCCACATTTAAAATAAACATTCGTTTAGAGTTTTTGGCTGCTATAAATTTCCACGTGATAAGCCACTTTGTTCGGCTATAATTTGTGATAGCCAGGTCACTCTGAAAAAGAGCTATATTGCAGCTCAGTGGGCTATACCTGCTAAAATAAAAATAGTTAATCATTTAGTTTAAAGGTGAAACTGTCTCGTGGCGGGTTCACACTGTCATCTCCAATCCAAATTCGACACTCGCAGCGCAAAGTGACCAGGTGCTGCTGCGTTTGGCCTTGCTGAACAAAAAAAACAAGACGCAGGCAGATTTGACGTTCAGGTTCTGCAGAAAATAAAATATTGCACGTCCATATCATAATCATAATACAGGGAACCTCGGTATACGTTGTTTATTTGATCCAAAAGGTAGGACTTATACCGAAAATGACATATACCAAACGAATTTTTCCCATAAGAAATAAAGGGAGAGGAAATAATCCGTTCCAGAGGAAAATAAATGATATTTTAAGTGGCATATTATACATTAATGGGGTTGTATAAAATAATTTAGACACTAATTACTAAAATGCATACAGAAGCCACGTGACCACGCTGCTGCCAGCTGCTGCCAGCTGCGCTAGTCACGTGGCGTGCCTCAACCACGCACGTCGCGCGCGCCTCGACCCGAGGCTCCACCCTCCATGGGGGCAGCCCCCCACGTCCCCCGCCCCTCTTCCCCACGCCCTTCCACCCCTCTCTCCCACGCCACCCCGCCCCTCTCGCTTTGTCTCAATCGTGAACTGGGCATACGCGGGTACTGTACGCGGTGACTCATCCCGACCAATACAAGTTCTAGCAAACGCGTCGTATCCCAAGACATTTTTTCTCTCGAAAAAACACGACGTATACCAAATTCGACGTATTCCAAAGCGGTTGTATACCGAGGTTCCACTGTAAGAGCAAGCATTCATGCCCATTACCTATGTATTGATAGTTTAAATATTAATGTGGCATGTTATTGAGGGACTACTGCTGTGTGGTGTTATCTTGGTGTGGTCTGGGAATGTTTTGTTGTTTTTGCTGCCTTGCCCAAGATTGATAAATCAGACCTATTTAATCTATTATTAATTCCTATTTGGTGGCTTTTTTGTCTATTTTACACTCCTATTCTGTTTTTTGTATTGTTTGTTGTTGTAACTTGCAGACCCGCCCATACTGGACACCTGTGAAAAAGAGCTTTTATAGCTCATTGGATTCTTCCAGTCTTATTAAAGAAATATTATTATGATTTTCACTCGTGCGTGCAAGTAGCACTTTGCCACCGGCCCTCTCAGCGGCTCCTTGAGCAAACCCGCCACTATGGACGTTCCCCTAAACAACCGCCACCGCAGCCTTTCTTCCAGCGGGAACCCCCACTCTCGCTTTAACTCTGCTGGCAATCATGCCAATTTGCTGCCATATATTTGTTTTACTTTAATGCCAGGAGAGAGCACTCTCACCCACGCAACAGCAACACTAATTAAATAATAAATAAAACATTACAACTCTGAAAATATTGTAGAATTTTTTTTTTATTTCTCTAAGCTAACAAGTTGTACACCGCACCACATGCGACGATTACCATGCGCCGCAACTCTCGTGCGTGAAAGCACGCCAAGTGTATGTTACGCCATAGGAAGAGATTATTTTTAAGGGTCCGATTCCAAACACACTGGAAACTTTTTTCTCAATGCGGCGAGTGTTTGCGAGTCGTGCCCTGCGCACCACTGCGAACGCAAAGTCTCCGTTACTGGGTCCGTGTCCCAGTCGTGTTAAGAGACGCCCTTTGTGTTGTTGCAGGGACTTCCGCCCTACAGATAGTGCCTCCCACGGTGTTCCCTTCGGACCTTTCCTTGCACGCGGGCTACGAGCAGCGCGACATACACCTCAGCAATTGCCACCAGGACATCCTGCACTTCTGCACTTCCTTCGTGCCGGAGATGATTTACAGGACAATTGAGGAGTGATCTCCTTTAACACTCCTCACTATTCACTATTCAATTCGTATCATATTCTCAAGCTCACGAGAATCATTGCGGTCGGTTTAAAACCGTTGTCAATCCACCACTGGAAAAAGGCTCTCCCACCCACCCACCCCACATGCCATGTCAGTCATGGCCATTGTTCACCACGCTGGTCAGTGCAGCTGGGTAGAGTAGGAACCCAGGACTGGTACACGTTAGCGCACGATGCTGACATTATCCATGGCCGGGAGTGACACCCAGGTCGCTGAACTAATGGAGAAGCGTGTGAAACGCGCCGCTCCACCTCAAAATAAAACTTTTTTTTATTTTACCAGGTGAGGCCCACTGAGGTATATAGTTCTTTTTATGGAAGCGACCTGGCCACAAATGAAAGCCCAATGAAGTGGGATAATTATATGTAAATGTATCGTAGCCAAATATTCTAAATATATGTTTTTAAATGTGGAGGGGAAAAAACGCAGGACGTGGAGAAAAATCCACACAACCACGGGGAGAGAGACACAAAAACTTCCAATATACAGCAGGCGTCAGGGTCGGAATCAGAACTCATGACCTCCTGCATACCAGACAAGACAAGGTAGTTAACATATCATCACCGCAGCGCCCCCAAACTCGCGACACCATGCGCCAAATCAGGCGCCTGTGTCGTGCTATATGTAATGGCATCACGTGACGCATCCAGCCACTTGATAGCGCGTTCGCCGCTTGTTGCAGAGGTTTGCAGTTCGATTTCCAGGGCCGCCCTGGTTAATACTGTAGGTGTATTAACATTCAAATTGGCAAGCCATCTTCTTCACGGTCGACTTTAAATATATCCTGCAGAGTGTGTCGCCAGAGTAGGCTATCGTATGCGGGCATCGTAGTTCAAATAAAAAAAATATTCTATTGCATCGTACCCGGTTGGAATGGTACGTAGCAACCATCACAATGAAAACTTGGCAGGACCCTGCTAAAAAAGTGTCGCGAGACTCGTTGAATTTTATTTCTGGGTAAAACAAGCGCAGTAGTAATGAAGCACACTGTCGGTAAATATAAACGTATCGGACCGTGCAACCCAATGGGAATAAAATAAAAGATTAATGGCTCGTCACAACCAGACGAGTCACTCCAGTTGAGCAGTATTAGAATACCTGGCTGAGAGGATCTCTTCCTTACTGCATCGTAGAGCCGGGCCCCTCATCCTCCACTCTGATTCACTGGTCCCAGACTAAGGGCAGAGTGTAGGTTATAATGCGTTCTTCAGTGTACACTTCTACTCGTTGAACTCTTTGAGATGTGGTCCATCTGTTACGGTCGTCACAACTCAATTGTTATTTGGAGACTGCCATCGGTTTTTTTAGACTTTAAAAATTACATATTTAACGACATGTTTGTTGTTGTCATAATGTTTAAGTGTTTATTGTTGTACATTTTAATGTTTCATACATAAACACACATTGGTAATTATCCGTCGTTGTTTATTTGGGCGAGGGAGTCTCACTAGATTCTGGAATATTTTCAGTTGCATCACAGCTTGACTTAAACTAAACTATTTTAAACTATAAGCTATTTTTTTTTCTAGAGTAAGGCCCCACTGAGCTACATAGCTCTTTGTCAGAAGCGATCTGACCACAAATGATAGCTCAACGAAGTGGGCAATATCACGTGGAAATGTATAGCAGCCAAATACTCTAAACGCGTGTTTCTAAATGTGGATGGAAAAACCGAAGGAGCTGGAGAGAAATCCACAAGAACACGGGGAGAGAGAGACACGCAAACTAGAAATATACGGCATTTGGGATTGAACCCACAACCTCCTGTATACCAGGCGAGGTAGTTAACATCTCGCCACCGTGGCGCAAACCAATTGACTTACGAAACGAATGCAGACTGGCAGCTCTGCTTTACTTAGTATAGTCGAATGGTGGGGTCGTCGCTATGCATGTCTGTAATTATGTTGGAGGCGAGGGTTGGTGGATCACACGCATGTATTGGATCTCCCTGCAAGGTGTCATACCCTGGCTTAGAGAAAGTGGTATAGCAACTGTGGACTCCACCTGTTCCATCTGTATGGGATAAAGATTTTTCCAGGTGCTCTGGTTTCTTCCCACATGTAAATAATGATAGGCCGATAGCACCTTAATGTGTATTGGGGTGCCATGGTGAGATGTTATCTACAGTGAGGGAAAAAAGTATTTGATCCCCTGCTGATTTTGTACGTTTGCCCACTGACAAAGAAATTATCAGTTTATAATTTTAATGGTAGGTATATTTGAACAGTGAGAGGCAGAATAACAACAACAAAATCCAGAAAAAACGCATGTCAAAAATGTTATAAATTGATTTGCATTTTAATGAGGGAAATAAGTATTTGACCCCCTCTCAATCAGAAATATTTCTGGCTCCCAATGTGTCTTTTATACAGGTAACGAGCTGAGATTAGGAGCACACTCTTAAAGGGAGTGCTCCTAATCTCAGTTTGTTACCTGTATAAAAGACACCTGTTCACAGAATCAATCAATCAATCAGATTCCAAACTCTTCAACCATGGCCAAGACCAAAGAGATCTCCAAGGATGTCAGGGACAAGATTTTAGACCTACACAAGGCTGGAATGGGCTACAAGACCATCGCCAAGCAGCTTGGTGAGAAGGTGACAAGAGTTGGTGCGATTATTCGCAAATGGAAGAAACACAAAAGAACTGTCAATCTCCCTCGGCCTGGGGCTCCATGCAAGATCTCACCTTGTGGAGTTGCAATGATCATGAGAACGGTGAGGAATCAGCCGAAAACTACACGGGAGGATCTTGTCAATAATCTCAAGGCAGCTGGGACCATAGTCACCAAGAAAACAGTTGGTAACATACTAAGCCGTGAAGGACTGAAATCCTGCAGCACCCGCAAGGTCCTCCTGCTCAAGAAAGCACATATACATGCCCGTCTGAAGTTTGCCAATGAACATCTGAATGATTCAGAGGACAACTGGGTGAAAGTGTTGTGGTCAGATGAGAGCAAAATGGAGCTCTTTGGCATCAACTCAACTCGCCGTGTTTGGCGGGGAGGAATGCTGCCTATGACCCCAAGAACACCATCCCCACCGTCAAACATGGAGGTGGAAACATGCTTTGGGGGTGTTTTTCTGCTAAGGGGACAGGACAAGTTCACCGCATCAAAGGGACGATGGACGGGGCCATGTACCGTCAAATCTTGGGTGAGAACCTCCTTCTCTCAGCCAGGGCATTAAAAATGGGTCGTGGATGGGTATCCCAGCATGACATTGACCCAAAACACACGGCCAAGGCAACAAAGGAGTGGCTCAAGAAGAAGCATATTAAGGTCCTGGAGTGGCCTAGCCAGTCTCCAGACCTTAATCCCATAGAAAATCTGTGGAGGGAGCTGAAGGTTCGATTTGCCAAACGTCAGCCTCGAAACCTTAATGACTTGGAGAAGATCTGCAAAGAGGAGTGGGACAAAATCCCTCCTGAGATGTGTGAAAACCTGGTGGCCAACTACAAGAAACGTCTGACCTCTGTGATTGCCAACAAGAGTTTTGCCACCAAGTACTAAGTCATGTTTTGCAGAGAGGTCAAATACTTATTTCCCTCATTAAAATGCAAATCAATTTATAAAAATTTTGACATGCGTTTTTCTGGATTTTTTAGTTGTTATTCTGTCTCTCACTGTTCAAATAAACCTACCATTAAAATTATAGACTGATCATTTCTTTACTATGGGAACCTCATTTGCCAGTAAAAATATGATAATTGTTTTTTTATCCTTCTATCTGGCAACAAAACTGACACCTTTTTACAGATAGAAGGGAAAAAAACAATTATCATATTTTTACTGGCAACACAACTGACACCTTTTTACAAGGACTCCTTGTAAAAAGGTGTCAGTTTTGTTGCCAGATAGAAGGGTAAAAAACCAATTATATTTTTACTGGCAAATGATGTTCCCATAGTGTAGATGCTTGCCCCGAGCTCTCATACTCTGATGGTGCATTGTCTTTGAGTTGTGCGCCTTTTGGCGTCATCTGGTCCAACCCATGTGAGACTAGGCTCTAAGGAAAGCTGTCTCGGGTGTGGACCAATCAACTTCAAGGACAGTGCACATTATCAGAGTTATGTCTTTTGTTTGTATTATGACTGCAGGTATTGCGGTCTATGCAAACATGACTCCTTGTAAAAAGGTGTCAGTTTTGTTGCCAGATAGAAGGGTAAAAAACCAATTATATTTTTACTGGCAAATGAGGTTCCCATAGTGTAGATGCTTGCCTCGAGCTCTCATACTCTGATGGTGCATTGTCTTTGAGTTGTGCGGCTTTTGGCGTCATCTGGTCCAACCCATGTGAGACTAGGCTCTAAGGAAAGCTGTCTCGGGTGTGGACCAATCAACTTCAAGGACAGTGCACATTATCAGAGTTATGTCTTTTGTTTGTATTATGACTGTAGGTATTGCGGTCTATGCACACATGACTCCTTGTAAAAAGGTGTCAGTTTTGTTGCCAGATAGAAGGGTAAAAAACCAATGATCATTTCTTTGTCAGTGGGCAAACGTACAAAATAAGCAGGGGATCAAATACTTTTTTCCCTCACTGTTCCTCGCCTGGGTTCGATCCCGACCCTGAGGCCTGCTGTATATTTGGAGTTTGCATGTTCTCGTGGGTTTTTATCTGGGTTTACCGGTTTTTCCCTCCACATTCAGAATACACATGCATTTGGAGTTTTGTCTTTGGCTGCTATAAATTTCCATATGATAGGCCACTTCATTGTGATATCATTTGTGGCCAGGTCGCTTATGAAAAATACCTCTAAATCTCAGTGGGCCTTACCTGGTAAAAATGTAAAATAGTTTTGTTGAGTATGTAATTAGTTCACGTGATCCTTGTCGCCACAATGCACGACATAAAATAAGGAGCTTTATTTCTTCAACTGGAATGCAACCTTAAATCGTGACAATCCAAGAAATCACGAGGTTAGGAGAATCGTTACTGGACTATTCAGTACTGTTCCGTACATACCCTCCGGGCGTCACTCATGGATGCTGGCTACTGTGCCAGTGATGACTCGGCTCAAGATATCCCTGGTTGAAGGTTATCCACAGCGAAACATTAAACGTAAAAAACATTGCTACGTGGAATATTGACGGATAATCCCGTGAAAAAAGACTGTGTAATAAAAAAAATACCTGCGGGTTTACCATGGACCAAGCCCGATGATCGCATCTGGCTATCGTATCAATAGAGCACCAGTCAGTTGAGCTATCCACCTACTTTGAGAAAATCCCAGACCGGTGGGGCCGTCATGAAAGCAAGACGCACGATAACTTAATTGCGAGTCGTATTGTATCTTTCAATATTTTTTAGTATTAATACTGTCACTGTGAGACTGTCTTCCTCTAAACTCAATACACGGTTACAACTAAAATAATATACAGAGTTATAGCCTACAGGGGTTAAAACACATCCGTATCTATTTCAGTCAAAGTGAGTCGAGAGAACGGAGGGGGGCCCACAGTCGTATCTTGTATAGCCCCCCCCGCATCCCTGTTGAAATAGGGAGCTGCAGCCCCTGGTTACAATGAGCAAGCAGCCTTCAGTCGATTAGCCAGAGAAACTTTGTCCTTCATTGCTGGGCGGCCGTGAACACACCCGCGCATGGCTATTTGGAGCGACATTTAGCCACCGTGACCTCACTGCCAAAGTGACCCCTTTTCCTGAGACAGGCCGCCCCTGGGCATAATTTCGACGCTGACCCCCTCCCCCACCCCCTTGACACCCGCAGCCCGAAATTCAATCCGCGAGCAAGAGGTTTGTGCTCCATACATTAAGAAAAGGGTGGGCATCGCGTGAAGGTTGGTCCACGCCACGATCCCCGGCAGAGTTCGATTCCCGTTCACGGCCACCAACACCAGTGACGATTATCTGAACCGGTCCTGGGCCTCCACTAATTCGACTCAAAGACTGTTGGGCGTGGTGCTGGCCACGCACACCCCATCGTTTGCCGTGCCAGCCTTCATAGGTGCTTGCTAACAACACTTTCCCCAACAGCCTGTTAAGACTATACCACGGGTGAATCATTGTCTTTTGTCTTGTTGGCAGTTATGATAGTGAAATGGTTATGGAACATGTGGTGGTGGTAGCGTGTTTCGTGTTGTACATACGTTGAACTTCTGTCGCACAGTACATAGCCAACCCCGCTAATCGGAGGTGCCGGTGGTGGATGCGTTGGGATGGTGATGCAGCGATTTGAAGCTTGGAGGGCCCACGCAAGAGCTATCAAGAATCCCCTCCAAGAGGGCATGGCATATCTCTTACCATCCCCGCCTGCCCAAGAGTTGGAAGGGGGCACTCCCTCCAACCCCCACGTTTTCTCTCACCACAAGAGGAAGTGTGTGTGTGGTCTGCTTTTCGTCGTTTCACAAGCGACCGCAAAGGCAGCGTAGAAAGCCAGCGTTGCGAGTCGCATGAATCAAAAATCCATATGGAAAGGTTCGTGCAAACGCGCGCTCGAGTGGAGCCGTGAGCGCTGGCAAACGGTGTCACCGCATCATTGCGCGGCGCTCTCAGATTGCGCTGCTGCGGCCGTCTGGAACAGCTCTTTCCTGCCGACATTTAGGAAGCCCATTGGAGCTATAAACTTTGAAATCATCTCGATTGACAAATTCGTTTCCTTAGAACTACTTGTGTTTAGTTTGTAGTCCTTCCCCTCGCGCCTCTGATGAGTACGGTTGACTACGTACGGTACGAAAGAAGCTCAACATACACACATACATAAACAGATTGTAGGGGCAAGGACTGGTAGCAAGTAGCAGCACCTATGATGGCTGGCATGATACATGTCCGGCAGCCTTTGTCTCCCCAGTGTTGATGTTTACACACCGTGCCAGGCAATTAGCTATGGATGAGTCGACCTAGGGGAGGCTCATATTTTTTTAATAATCTAGATTGAAAATATATTTTTTAGAACTGCTTGTTGTGTTTATATTCTTTGGGTCTTTTGGTAAAGCCACGTAGATAGAAAAGTAATAAAATATCACGACGTTTTGATCGCAACTCAAGCATTCGTCCTCATTGCGGTGGTGGCTTTGCGATCTTACATTGACATGCTAATCTCTCACAATACAATGGCCACCTTCGCAGCCTCGTCGTCCTGGAGGTAGCTCTCTCCGATCTTACATTTACATGCAAATTGCATCACTAGCCCCACCCACCTCGCTTATGACCATTGGGCTACACCCATCTCAAAGCTTTATAACATCCTGCCTCAGCAGCTCGCCTGCTATTT